TTCCTCGCTTGCTGGAGAACAGGAGGGCATCAGCGTAGCACGGCTCGCTTGAGCTAGCTGGAATTGGAATGGCTGTACCGCTGCATTTGAAGTACTTAGTTGAAATCTGGTGATAGTCTGCAGCGGTGGGTATCTGGACTGTCGCTTGCAAGCGGGAGAGGCTATCGCTTGCGGCTATGAAGGTGGCCGCTTGCCTCTCATGCCTTAGTGTTTTCAAGGTGTGTTTTGGGCGCTTGCGAGCGAAGGCGGCTGTCGCTTGCGGCGTCTGCCTTAGCTTTTCTGGCTCCAGAATACCGCTTAAGAGGGCAAAAATCGTTAATAGTCTCAACAACGAATTCTGGATCATGCCTGGTGATATAAATCAATATTGTATGCCGATTACGAATTATTTTTATGGTTCTTATGCAGAAATTCAAGTAACACACATTTTTGTCAAGCTAAGAATATGCTCATATTTGGAGTCATCATACAACAAAATGCTTTACCAAGTTAAGATGTTGCTTGGTAAGGATATCACATGCACTTTACAATAAAGGGAGTAAAAGGGCATGTTATGATCATGAATGGTTGCAATAGTAGATTTTGAAGAATCAGATCGATATACATATAGTGAAAGGAATCCTTCATGTGTATGAATTAGCCTTATAATGATAGACTTAACTTCTGTAGTTATTGGTCTCTGGTTTGATTGAATTTATATACAACATAAAACAAAAATAACAGGGAGGAATGAAATCATATGTATACCTTTAATCCTATGTGATGAAAAATTACAAAGTAATGGTACAAAAATTTTAAAAACATAGTACAAACATTTCATCACGAATCAAATATTGCCACTGGCCATGATGAATTGATTGATGTATCAATATTTTTGTTTATCATGAACCATCTATGATTCAAATACAATCAAATGTAAATTGTAAGTATCAACTTCTTATTTTCTGATGGAATAACACTATCATCATATAGTAACACAATATTATGTATCAAAATGAGAACATAATTAGATAAATTATACAAATAGAAATCTATAATACATAACGTAGCACTAAAATCATTCAAGTCAATAATCATTAGCCGTAAGTCCTACCGTTCTGCGATAATGAACATTATAGTTGTTAGACAAACTATCAAAGGTATTACATATTTCCATTAAACTAGAAACTGACATAGTAGGATTATTATAGAAATACAAATATCTATTATCATCATATAGTATAACATGGATTTTTTCTCTCTCGAACAATGTATGTCGATGATGCACATATAGGAACACCTAGCTTCATTACTCATACACGGAAACCTTGACGTGACACTTGACTTGCCTGCACAAGTTTTTTTTCTTATTTCGAATCAAAATCACAGTGTGTGTATACCTCTTCGTTGTCTCCTTAGCGTAACCATTTCCCACAAGGAATAAATTTATAGTATAATATTTGAGGATTGCTTTCATTCCATGATACTTTTAAAACACATTCTCTACCATATGAACACATCGGGGTCATTGAAACAATTGATTTTTCTTACTTCACCATAAAGATAGAATAAATTCAAATATTTACTTAAGAAAACATCATTATGCACATAAGGATTGACAAATCAATCAAAACAAGAAAAATATTTAAACATCACAATACATCGATATCACCTTGTAGAAAAAAATCACAATGAACAATTTGTTTATAATATAATTTTCATCAATTGTCCCAAGAATTATAGTTTACTGAAATTTTATAATCAATTCAATAAAGTTAAATCCTTGCAGAAATCACAAATTGACTATGCATAAATGGTGAAAGTATCCAACCCAATGTGGTACTTGCTAATGTTTAATAGCATTTCAAAAACTACTAAGAAATCAAACCAAAAAGTTGGTAGAATATAAAAAATAACCGAACTTTAATAATCAATTATATATAAAACCAACAAATTTAATTTACCATTGCACGGAATCATGATAAGAAACACTCGACAAAATAGTAGATAAAGACAACAAAATGGATAAACGTTCGACATAACTACAAATAAGCACAACAAAAAATTTAGTTTTCAACTAAAAAATGTATTTCAAAAAAAATGAAAGCAATAGAACTTCAAATAACAGCACGTAAACATAATGGAATGAGAAAATGAAGTAAAAAAACGAAAGAAAATATAAATCGGAGAATTACAAGAATTCGAAAATTGCTTGTTGACTAAACCCCTTCTCATTCTCTCTTGAGTAGATAAATGAACATGGCCGGAAATTGCTTCTTGTACTTTATCCTTTCTACTCCTCTTATGGAAGAAATAATTTTTTATGTTATTTCGTTGAATTCCTTGGTTGTTTGGTGTTTTGAAGATTTTGTGAGACCGTACAATTAATTGAGGTCAATTTAAGAGATAAAATTTTGAGTCATTGCGTGATAATTTTGAAATGAAAAATCGATTTTAAAAATTCACTTGGATACGTCAGCGTATTGGTTTAACTCAATGCGTTTTTACACCAAACTATTGTATTTGCTCTGAGATATTTTTTTATATGAGTATAGAAAATTGTGACGATAATATAAATGTAATATTTTATGTTAAATATTGAATTTTTATGCAATGACATTGAAAATATATTTTATATACTGAAAATTGTATTGAATAAAAAATAATTTGGCAGACAATTGTTTAAATTCAAATTCAAATAAAAAAAATAAAAAAAAAAAAAAACTCAAATATAAACACAAACCAAACAACATTTTAAATAATGAATCTAAAATTATGGTATGTTAACTGGAGAAATTGATATATCGAAGTTAATACACATAAAATATTCAAATAATACACTATTTTATTTAATACAATATAAAACATGTTAAATAATAGCGTATATGTGTTGTATTGATATACTTATTGTGTGAAAATTAATTGTAGTATGTGAGGTAAGACTATATCATATATTGTCAGTTAATATAATGTATTTATATTATGTTAACATAATTCAAGTAATACATGTCTCTATTTTGTTTGTTATTTATTCTTATATTATATTGTGTCGGGCCATATGATGTATTGTATTTGTATAATATTAATATAATTTATATGTTGTGCTTCTTTATATCATTTGTGTCAATTCATGTCTTAGTTTGTATTGTGTTAATATAATTCATATACTAAATTTCGTATCTCATTACATAAATGCATTTGTTTTTATTATTCAATATATATATATTATATACTTTAACATATTATACTATATTTAATAATTATTATAATATACTATATTTAATAATTATTATAAGGGTGAATTACATAACATTCACTTTATTTTATTATACAATATCACATATCCTATTTATTATATATAATCTCATTATATTATATTAAAGTATGCACAAGATATTATTTCTTTCCAAATATTAACATTGTTCATAATTTAGCAAGTAATTACGTAATTCTTATGCAAATAAATGAAGTGAAATATCATAAATAAGAAAATAGATAATTAATCAACTATTTATTTCACAGTTTAAACAATTTATTTCACAGTTTGTAAAATGAATAGGAACTGTAACTTAATATTTATATATACTCTAAAGTAAAGATTTAATTAGTTTGTTTTTTAATATTTTACATCGAAAGAATAATATTTAAAATATTTATCCCAAATTTTATTTTTTATTATTGATTTGAAATGAAATAGTGATATTCATTTGTATGCATTTATAATTAGGAGCATGTTTATGAACAAAATCAATCAAATAATATTTTGGACATACTTTAATATAACATAAAAAAACTTTATGCAATAAACAAAATGTAAAATATTTTTATGGATTTATAATAAACCACAAGTAAATATTACACAATTTATCATTATTTGAAATTAAAAAACATCAATAGTAACTGCAACTTAAAGATGTGGTGTAATATCAATTAATATGATTTAAAATTCAAAATAATAAACTAAACAAGTTCTACTAAATTTTATTTTACAAAATAATTCGTAAATGCAAATTTTAAAGAATGATCTATATTATTATTATTATTATTATTTAAGCAGGCCATACTATTTAATATTTATTGAAATACTGTATTTTGAAAGTTGATCTGATGCATATTCTAAACAATGAAAAAAAGAAAAAAAATTAATTTTGGTTTCAATATAAAAAGACTTATTAATTTTAGTCTCGTTATAAACAATTTCAATCAATTTTGATCTCATTATAAACAATTTCAATCAATTTTGGTCTTACCGTTAAAAAAAATTAACGGAAATTGTTGACGTTGATATAACGGAGGTCACGTGGCAGCTAACCTGGAAACTACACAGCAATTTACAATTATACACGGTCATGTATATTTCAGTGTAAAATTATACATAACCATATTGTTACACAGCCGTGTATAATTTTACACGGTCCGTGTACATTTCTGTTTTAGTATTCTAAATTCAAAACAAAAATTAAAAAGAATATATAACAAAAAAATAAAATTTTAAACTAAAACAAAAAGGTATACAGCCTTATAGAATTATAACTGTGTAATAACATGACCATGTATATACACTGAAATATACACAGTCATGTTGTTTCATGGCCGTGTATTAATGTACATGGCCGTGTATTAATGTACATGGTCGTGTAACAACATGGTCACGTATAATTATACACTGAAATATACATGATCATGTAACAGCATGACCGTGTATAATTGGATATGGTCGTGTAGTTTCCGAGTCAGCCGCCACGTCACTTCCGTTATATCCACGACAACAATTTCCGTTTGAACCAAAATTGATTGAAATTATTTATAACGGGACTAAAATTGATTGAAATTGTTTATAATTGAATTAAAATTGATAAATTTTTTATATTTGGACCAAATTGATTTTTTCCCAAATAAAAAACAATAATAATAAATAAATAATTTAAAAGTATTTAGTTATTACTATAATATATATATTTATTTTACATGTGTATGGATTCATATTTCAAACTGAAAACGAAAGGGCGAGAAAAATATATATGAAGGGATAAAGGAAAACAGAGAGAGTCGAGAGAGAGAGAGGAAAAAAGAGAGAAGAAAAGAGGGATTAGGAGCTTCGTGAGGGAGAAAAATCTCTGCAAAAGAGCTTTTTGACTCTCTCTCTTCTTCCTCAGGGACGAGGATTTAACGCCTCCATGAATCCCTTCTTCATCTGATTCTAATTCGTGCATGTATCCTTGATTTTGACCCCATTCTTTTGTGTATTCGTTACGAGGGATTTTAAATCGAAGGTACCTTCTGTTTCCTCCTCCTCCTGCATTTTTGTCTGTAATTTGATTTTAATTGTGGCTGCTTTCGGGTGTTTTTTGGTCGAAATGTGTTTTCATTTATTAATTTTCACCTTCCATGGTTCTTGGAGAGAGAGAGAGAGGGAGAGAGAAAATTTTGTTTTACCTTTTTTTTGTTTTGGCGTAAAAAGGTAGGTTTTTGTTTCGACTTTTTATCGATTATGTATAATTTTTGGTGTCCTTTTGCAAATCTGGTAATAATTGGTGATGAGTCTTGGATGTGATTTTGTTTTCCGGTTTTCTTCGCATTTTGGCTGCAATGATCGAATTCATTGACGATTTGGTTATTTTTTTGCTTGATGTGATTCGTGGTGTTTTTCTGACGATGTGCTTTGGCGGTACATTTCGTAGCGGAGTATAAGGATTATATTCATCGCTGATTCATGGGAAATTGCTGCGTTAAGCCTCATGGTGCCTCCGATGTCAGGAAGAAAAAGAATAAGAAGCCGAATCCGTTCTCGATTGACTATGGGGCTGTTCACGGATCTGGTGGTACAAACAAGCTTGTTGTGTTGAAAAATCCTACAGGGAATGACCTTTACGCCAGATACGAGCTTGGGCGAGAGCTTGGGCGAGGTGAATTTGGGTTAACTTATTTGTGCACAGATGTAGAGACCGGAGAGAAATTGGCCTGCAAATCGATATCGAAGAAGAAGCTGAGGACTGCAGTGGATATTGAGGATGTGAGGAGAGAGGTTGAGATCATGAAGCACATGCCTAAGCACCCAAACATTGTGAGCTTGAAGGATACCTATGAGGATGATACTGCAGTGCACATTGTGATGGAGCTGTGCGAAGGAGGTGAGCTGTTTGACCGGATTGTGGCAAGAGGCCATTATACCGAGAGAGCAGCTGCCTATGTTCTGAAGACCATTGTGGAAGTTGTGCAGGTTGAAATACTATCCAAACATTTCATTTTTGGATTTTATTGGATCTGAGATATATGTATCTTTATATTTGTGTTATTACTTAATTTCATTTCCACTACGTTTCGTTCTACTCAATGCTTTGTAGTTAGTGCCTAGTATCATTCCTGGTTTTGGTTTATTTGACCTGCATAGAAATCTTGCTTGCTTTTTAATGGAAATTTGAAAGTTTTGGAACAACTCTTGACCCTCTTGATGGTTTGATTATGAGTTCCATTGCTATATATAGTGGACATGTTTGATATATATTCTATCTTTCTCTTTTCTTAAAATCATTTTTTGTGGATCATCTTTAGAGAATTTGTGGGAGAGTTATTGTTTCTGCTGTACTTTTTGCATTTAATCTGCAGTCATTGGAGACATTGTTCATTACTTCCCTTATATCTTCGGAGATCTCGTCACATATTTTTTATTATATTTATGTATATTGCTTCATACCTTATTTGTTGTTCTTAAATTGTCTGACAGATGTGCCACCAACAAGGAGTAATGCACCGTGATCTCAAACCCGAAAATTTTCTTTTTGCAAATAAAAAAGAAACAAGCGCTCTAAAGGCAATTGACTTTGGTTTGTCAGTTTTCTTCAAGCCTGGTATGTAATTTGACATACGTGGGTAGTCTAACCAATGCCTTAACACACTATCAAGGGGGTTTATCAAATGTTCTTGATTGTGTCCAGGTGAGAGATTTAATGAAATTGTTGGAAGCCCTTACTACATGGCTCCCGAGGTTTTGAAGCGCAATTACGGTCCGGAGGTTGATGTTTGGAGTGCTGGAGTAATCCTTTACATTCTACTGTGTGGGGTTCCTCCTTTCTGGGCAGGTTAGTTTTGTTGCTTCTTGTGCAGCTGCCCAAATGTTTTAGTTAGTGTTTAATGCTCTATCAGCTCTGGGGTTACTGCAAGGGTCATATATTGTAAATATTGGGATTCTATACTACTTCAATTGTGTCTTTGATTTATTGGTTTGTGTTTGGTTACTCTCGCTAGAGAGCCATTCAAGTGGTCACTAATACATGATAATTCTTCACATGTTTGCTTCAACAGTACTTCCTTTTTTCCCTTTAAGAACATGATATATTTTGTTGTTGTATTCGTGTTTTAATTAATTAATTCTCTAAAAATATCTTACTTTTGGAGATACATGATATTTTCCTAGTATTTGCACTTCGGAGGTGGGGGTCACATTTGAATGTAATCAGTGACTAGTGGTACAATATGAACTTAGGCTATTGAATAATATATTATATCTATATATTATGTGTTTGGGGGTTGGGTTTTGACTTATTGATACGCGGGTTATCATCTTAGTCTTTGTTGTTTGGATGTGAAGATACATATTTAATATTGTTTTCTGATTGTGCAGAAACTGAGCAAGGAGTTGCACAAGCAATTATCCGGTCTGTGATTGATTTTAAGAGAGATCCTTGGCCTAAAGTATCAGATAATGCGAAAGATCTTGTTAAGAAAATGCTTGATCCAGACCCCAGCAAGCGGCTAACTGCACATCAAGTTCTCGGTAACCCTTAATTTATTAAAAATTACATTACCTGGCAAACTTACTGAGCTGATCTTATAGTGATAGGGAACAAGAGACTGAGTATCCATTCTATTGGCTTTTATTGACACAGAACATCCTTGGTTACAAAATATAAAGAAGGCGCCAAATGTCTCCCTAGGTGAGACCGTAAAAGCCAGGCTTAAGCAATTCTCTGTGATGAACAAGCTTAAGAAAAGAGCTTTGAGGGTAACTACTCAGTACTAGAAACATTTACATACTCCCACCACTCCCACAGAAAAGAAGTAACTATAAGTTTGAAAAAATTTATGTAACAAAAGAAGCACACTAATATTGAATCATTCTGTCGCCCTTGGTATTATAAATATGAAGGTTATAGCAGAGCACTTGTCTGTAGAGGAAGTGGCTGGAATTAAAGAAGCATTTGATATGATGGATTCCCAAAAGAGGGGTAAACTTAACCTGGAAGAACTCAAAATGGGTTTGCAAAAGCTTGGCCACCAGATACCAGAGGCAGATGTCAATGTTCTAATGGAAGCGGTAAGCCTTCATTTGATTTTACTCAACACTTTTCTTCATCACTGTTAGATGCCTTTTTCAATGATAATGCACAGTTAAGTTGCTGATTTATTGTTAAAATATCAGATTTTATTGGGATCATTATGCACCTTAAATCCATTTTTACAGTGTCCTGTATTGTTTCCAATTTTTGTAGTTAGAAATTGTCGTAGTTAATTGATCAACTCTCACTGCCGTCTTCCTTAAACAGTAGAACATTCTACGATCATCTTGTAACTTAGGAATGGATACATTGTGTTACAATTTGCTACCAGCATCAACGTTAGCTGTCTTCTACGGTTCTACCATTATTGCATTCACTTTTCTTTATCTACCATTGCCTCAGTTTGGTGTCTTGTCCTTATAATAAATTGTTTGCTTTCTGGCATCATGGCATGCATTTCATACCAGCATCAGTGCCATAACCTGGGGCAAGATGTTTGTTGTAATCCAAACAGCTATTATTATACTTTTTCAGTCCTCTGATATGATTTGATATTTTTCTGTATGATTTAACTGTGGATATGGAGTTCTCATTAGATAATCCATAACACAGTAATTCTGCGGTTGTTTCTCAATTTTATTGAAAACGGATCAGTAGCTATTTCATGCTAGTCCATCATGTTGCAGATGCACACCTTACGAATATACCTGCTATGTATTACATATAAATGAAAAAGAAAAAATAAATAAATCTTTGCTTTGTGTCGAAAGGGATCATTATAGTGCCATTTGATTTGGTCATCCTGATTTTATCTGGATTTAACTGCTCAATGACGAACCATGTAGTGTGCATGTCCTTTAATTTAATTTCTCCAGTATCATTTGTGACACTTTGATATTTTCAGGCTGATGTTGATGGGGACGGAACTTTAAATTACGGGGAGTTTCTTGCCCTTTCAGTCCATCTTAGAAAGTTGGCCAATGATGAGCACCTTCACAAAGCCTTCGCCTTTTTTGATAAAAATGGAAGTGGATTTATAGAGATTGAAGAGCTCCGTAATGCTCTCAATGATGAAGAGGAGGCAAATAGTGAGGAAGTCATCAACGCCATAATGCAAGATGTCGACACGGATAAGGTCAGTTAAATCTATCCATAAATGCCTACACCTTAAATATCATTGCGCATGTTTAGGCATTTCCTGTCACCTATATTGGCATTCACAGGGACCAAAATATTTGCCATTTATTTCGATATAATTCCTACTAAGTTTCCCAATTTTCAGTACCACGACATTCTCCTACTTATTTAACTTTTTAATACAATACACCGATGTATTTAATTATAATCTGATGTAGGACGGTCGTATAAGTTACGATGAATTTGCTGCAATGATGAAAGCTGGCACGGATTGGAGGAAAGCATCGAGGCAATATTCTCGCGAGAGGTTCAGCAATCTCAGCTTGAAGCTAATGAGGGATGGCTCTCTAACGACGGTACCTAATGAGGGTAGATAAATAAAAACAAAACAAAAAACACGGTGCATGCATGATACGACAAGATGAAAGGGTGCGTTCCTCGTGTTCCTGTTCTTCCTTTTTTCTTTAATCGAAATCTTTATCTGCCAGTTTATACGCGATTTGTGCAACTTAACTTTTCTTTCTACCATCATCATCATCATCAACCTTGTTGGGGAGCCCCCTAAAATGGCTTATGCATAGATTTGACAATTTGTTGTTTGTAAAGTAAGCCGAGCCGGTTGAACTTGAAAATTTATCTCGAGGGAGGGCCAGAAAACATTGATATGATGTATTGTTGTTCATGTGTTTGCTGTGTGTATATAGATCGATCTATCGAATGAATTGAATGTGTATAATGTGTCTTGTGACTTGTCTAGACTCTATTAACATTACGGTATCAACATTTCAATACAAGTCTCATTGTGCTTTGTTATGTGTCTTTTTTGTATCAAATTACTACAAGTTCGCCAATATATGACTACGGTTACTGTGCTGAATTATATTGTGAAAATGTTACAACTGAATGGGACAAATTTAGATTTGTTTGGAAGATACATTGGTATGTATGATTAAAGTTTTACATTTTTTATTTTTTATTTTAGATATTTTGTCAATTTATTTGGTTGATTAAAGTTATTGTTATTATTTTAGGACTATAATACCAATAATAAATACTTCCTCCGTCCCAGATATTATGTTCACATTGTCATTTCTATCCGTCTTACATACATGTCACTTTCTTTTTTTTTTAAATTGATTACACACTTTAATTTCATTTTAAATTTTTAAATTTTATTTTTTTTAATTTTAATTAAACTAATTAGTTATTTTAATATTAATTTATAATTATTTATATTATATAATAATTATTTTTATTAATACATTCTTAATTATCTACTAATTATATCCTTTTTAAAATACGAATGTAGCAGACACGATATTTGTATCTGGGACAAAGGGAGAACTAATTAATAAAAGGTGCAATGAAAATTTTGGTTTGCATTTAGTAACCTATGATTTCGACTTGAATAAACTGAGGCCACAAATTGTGATTGTCCAATATAAATATTATTTATTGTGAGAGAGTGATAGTATCTTACGTGTCGATACTACAAATATTAAACATATGTTTCATCATGCTCGATTTAGACAGATTCAATGATCCTAATTAAATTAGTTATTAAAAATAATATCATACTATTCATACTTATTATAATTACTATTGAATAAGGTTTAAAAAAATTTTATCAGTCAAATTTATTTTTATTTTTATAATCTATCCCTTAAATTTATTGTATTGTTAATTATTTTTTTAAAAGAATAAAAATTTACTATTTTACTATTATTCTCTTTTTAATATTTATTTACCATTCATTCCATATCACTATTATTCTCAGTTCTCTTTAAATTTTTATAAATTGGAGTATCAATTACTTTATATTTTTATTTAAATATTTATTTTTCTTAATTTTTATATATATTTTTATTACTTTTATATTAAAATATACTCGCTCGTCAAGTTATATGACAGTTTTGGTTGAAAACAAGTTTTTTAGATACTATAGATTATTAAGTTATTAATAATAAATTATAATTATAGATAAAAAATTGTGTTATTTTTAATAAACACAAAATTTGTACAAATTATATTTGATTTGAATTTAAAGCGGGTCCTATTCTCTAAATGGGTTCTTTGATTCTCCTTCCGGGTCAATTTATTTTCCAACTTAGTTTTCGATGGCTTCTTTGATCCGAAGAGGTTTGATCTTCAGTTTGGCTTTGCCGCTTTTGGAGGACTTTGGTCTCCGCGTTGGCGATTTGATCATCGTCTTTGAATTTTTTGTTTTCTTTGGACGATCCGCGACTTTGACATTTGTTTTGGCTTTGCCGCTTTTGGAGGACTTTGGTCTCCGCGTTGGCGATTTGATCATCGTCTTTGGATTTGTTGTCTTCTTTAGACGATCCGCGACTTTGACCTTTGCTTTGGCTTTTCCGCCGTTTTTGGAGGACTTTGGTCTCCGCGTGGGTAATTTGATCATTTGCTTTGGATTTGGTGTCTTCTTTGGACGATCCGCGGCTTTGATCTTTGTTTTGCCTTTTCCGCCGTTCGGAGGGCTTTGGTCTCCATGTAGGCGATTTGATCATCGGCTTTGGATTTGATGTCCTCTTTGGATGATCCGCGACTCTGATCTTTGGTTTGCCTTTTCCGCCTTTTGGAGAGCTTCGGTCTCCGTGTCGGCTTTGGATTTGATCTGCAACTTTGTATTTGATGTCTTCTTTGGACGATCCGCAGCTTTGATCTTTGATTTGTCTTTGCCGCTTTTGGAGGGCTTTGGTGTCCGTGTGGGCGATTTGATCCTCAACTTTGGATTTGATGTCTTCTTTGGATGATCCGCAGCTTTGACCTTTGATTTGTCTTTGCTGCTTTTGGAGGGCTTTGGTCTCCGTGCGGGTGATTTGATCCTAAGCTTTGGATTTGATGTCCTATTTAAACGATCCGCAGCTTTGATCTTTGAGAAGGTGGATTTGGTGCTCCATAATGCTTTTGACGGCGTGTCCCTTTGACTTTTGGATCAAAGAGGGCCGAGTTTGCGCTTTTTATGAAGAACGCGATGAACACCTCGAAGCTTTGAGAGAAACTTTGAAGACCTTCCCTTGGCTTTGACGAATTCCTCGACGGCTTTGAGAGCTTTGATCATTTCTCCGGCTTGGACATACGACGAAGAACATTAACTTCATCGATTCGTCAATCAATATTGGATCATTTGTCCAAATTAGTGACTTTCGATGAAGAACAATACAAAGAGAGTCTAGAGACTTACCCCTTTGCTTGAACCCTCGATGCAACTTCGGTGTGTTAAATGAACTGGCGATAACTCCTATTTACAGGAGAGGGCGGCCTTGGCTTCCTTTTCGGATGGTGCTACGTGAATGGAAAGATTTTATAATCTTTCCTTTTCCATCGGATGTCGTTTTCCATTCTTGACGGATTTGATTGTGCACCTTCCTTTCTCGCCAAAATCTTTGTATTATTGCCCTTTTTGGAAGATATTAATTTATCTACTTCCTTTATTGACAAGATTAATTTATTTTGCTGCCAAATTTATTATGGCTCTATTTATGCACGTAATATTTGTACGATATCTTCCATTTTAAGCAGATTTTTGCAGTTGATATTTATTGTACAAAAATTAACATGTGTGCATAATTAAATACCATATATTTATTTTATTGAAATTTTATTTTCTTCCAAAATGCATGATATTTAATTGATTTTAGATATATATTTTTAGTGTCTACAATAATATTATTTTTCATATGAGCAGTGTCGTTGGTATTTTAAATATTTTTAGCATTATTTTTCAATACAATATGAATATTATTTTATAAATAATAAAATTTTATATAATACAAATTAATAAAAAATATATTTTATTTATAATTAACTTAAAGGCTAATTTTATATAAAAAAAAATGAGGAGTTTTTAACATAAATAAAAATATTTATTTATTGAGGAGAAAATTAAAAGTAAAAGAATTTTGATTAATTTAATTAAATTAATTTATATTTGTTAAGTATGTTTAAAATAAATAAATTACTAAATATATATAAAAAATAATAATATCTTATTAAATAAAAAAGAAAAAAAGAAAAACATATCACATATGGCAAAAAGAATATATATTTTTTAATTTTTATATCTATCCAAAATAGATTAAATATGACAGAGACCGACAACCTCCAGACGTTGTATACATTGTAAAATACAATCAATTGTATTATAAAATATATTACGGAGATCCGACGTCTACAGGTTCACCTGTCACATATGGTTCGCCTGGTATGACTTGTCTTGTCCGGCTTAGTTTGCAGACATTAAATTCGATCGAGTGTTTACCCATAGTGAGCACTTTTCGGTAGCGGTTGTAGGTTATAAAAGAAAAAATATATTATGGAGAGACAAATGGTGTATTCTTTAAAAAAAAAGAAAAAACAAATGTACAGTTTTCAAAGAAATTTTAATATTTTACGCATATTTATTATTTTTATATTCTCAACACAATTTTATAAATATTTACATCAAAAAAATTTCATCAAATTATCTCACAAAACAACAGCACCCAAAGAGAAAATATATTTTTTAATCTTTATATCTATCTAAAATAGTATTCAATTTTAATGAACATGAATCTTGATAAAATTTTAAAAATAATTTAGTATTAGTGATAAATATTATGAAAAGATTTATTAATATCATTATAATATTTTAATAAAATAATAAAAATCTCACAAATTAAAATATATTAGTAAAAATTAAAATATAATAGTAAATTATTAGCATTTTTTTTTAAAAAAAATATTTTTTAATTAAAATTTTAAATTAATTCTTATTTTTCTTGCATAAAAAATTGTCTATTTTATCCCATTACTATTTCATATTAAATTTGTTAAATTAATAATATATATATCCATATAATAAAATTATACTAAAATTCTAACCCATTAAAATAAATTAATATATTGAATGATAATATAATAAAATTATAAAATTTAAAATATTAATATATAAAAGTAGTATTATTATGCTATATTCATTATACATCATTAATAATATATCATATATATTAGTATACACTTTATTTTATAAAAATATAATACTCCATATATATACTTTTTATATTTTCTGTATTTCTATTTAGTTATTTATTTATTTTATCTTGTTTCGTATAAATTTATACAAATTATATAAATTAATAAAAAATATTTTACGGTCCTATGAAATCTATATAAATACATAAAAAAAAATCTAATCAATTATGTAAGAATCTATTTAAATAAATACATAAAAGCATCAAATTACTCTATGAATTTTCTAAACTAAGGGGTGTATTCAATATAAATTTTGTAGAACTTTCAAAATCTGAGTGTATTCAATTAAAACTTTTAAAAGTCTTTTAAAATCTAGAGGTATTAATCAAGACTTTTAAAAGTCTTTTAAAATTCTGAGGTATTCAACTTAGACTTTTAAAAGTCTTTTAAAATATTGAGATATTCAACAATCCATACACTTCGAAAGTCTATGGATTTTAATGGATTTTTGTGAAAATTTTGTATAAAAAAAAATCTCTCTTAACTATCACAGATTTTGATGAATTCTTAAAATTATTATTATTATTATTATTGTTGTTGTTGTTGTTGTATATGTGATCAATAATAAAATAATATTTATTACTATTATTATAATTTTTAATAAAAATAATAATTTAAAACTAAAATATATTAGCAAATTATTATGAATTTTTTTAAATATATATTTTTATATTATAAATATAATTTTAAAAAATATTATTATCACAATAAATATGTATTACTGTCTGTCTTTTTTTTTTTCAATTATCGAATACACTATATTATCACAAGATAACGGTGAAATAGATATTTAAATATATATTTTTTTGTTGAACCATTAATTTATATTTATTTATTTCTTTTAAAAATCATAAATTATTTATTTATTTATATTAATATAACCTCCGTATATATTATTTATTAATACTTATATATTATTTATTAATATTAAATATTATCTTATTAATAATTATTTATTATATTATAAAATTTGTTGTTTGATATAAATTTATATAATTAATATATATTCACAAAAAAATTATTTTACAATCCTACAAAATTCATACAATTCAATCAAATTCGTAGAAATCTATCTAAATTAATTACTAAAATCCATCAAACTCAACGTAAACTCTGTGGATTTTCTAAATCCACATAAATCTATAGACTTTTTAAAATCCAAAAAAATTCATTAAAATCCCAATTGAATACACCAAAAAAAAAAAATTCATGAACTTTTTAAAATATAATAGAATCCGAAATGAATATACTCTAGGCGAAGAAAGAATATATTATCATATACTTCGTCTGTCCGGCTCCAAAGGTCTTATTTATCTTTTGCGTCATTGTATTTAACATTAAAAATATTTTTATATTTGTATAATTTTTTGCACAAATATCATTGTAATAGTATTATAAGATACTAGTAGAAGTATTTTTGTCATTTTTTCTTAATTTGTATTACGTTTTCATATAATAATTAATATTCAAATATCAACACATAAAAAAGTAAGGGAGATTTTGAGAGTCAGACGGATATAGTATATGTTACATTGTATACACTATAAAGTACAATCCATTGTTTTATTTTTAAGTAAACGAGACTTTTAGAGTCGAACGGAATAGTATAGGTTATATTGTATACTGTGTAAAGTATAATGCATTGTGTTATTATATATACGTACATACTATTTTTTTATTTATTTTAAATTATTAAATGAACACAATCTTACTCATTTTTGGGGGGTTAATTAATTAATTAATTTTTTATTATATATATAAGGTGAAAATATCAGGGCGGATATTGATACGTACCCGATAATTTAGGGGGTAAGTTTGTAATAAAAACAAATCTGAGGGGGCATAAAATATTATTTATATATCTCTCTCTAAAGTCAGGTTCGTCGATTTTCTTCTGCGTTTACCAAATTCATAGAAAAAGCGTGAGAATGGCGACTTCGTCTCTACCGCTGCTGCTCCTCCTCGTCGCCGCCGCCGCCGCCACCACCGCCGCTGCTCGTCCGTGCAAGACGCTCTTCTATTTCTCTGCTACGACAACCACCACTTTTTACCCTAACGCCAATTCCCTTCCCGAGGATGTTAACCCCAATTACATCTTCCGTGACCTAAGCCCTCGGTACCTCAATCTCGTGTTCACTTCCGCCACCGACAATCGGGTCCCCGACCGCTTCGCCTCCATCAATTTCGACTCCAACGGCGACGATTCGCAATCGTCGTCGATGATCGCGTCATCCGGTTTGCCCCTGAAGTTTTATTCCTCCGTGTCGAGCTCGATTCGCGATCGTACCAGAGATTTGATGAGCGTTGTCGGAGCTTTGCTTTTCGGCGTCGGATGCGGCGCTCTAACCGCGGCTGTCATGTATCTTGTTTGGGCGCTGTTCTCTGATCGCCGATTGGAGTACGAAGACGTTTCTTCTTCCGATGACGAAGACGACGAGATTTCCGCCGCTAAGAAGAAGTTTGGATACGTGGCGATCCCTGCGGATGCTAAAGTGGTTGAGGATGAGATCAAGAAACCTGCTGCGCCTGCCAAGGAGATGGTTTGATGATTGAATCAATATATATTCTAGCGATTTGTTAAACCTATATAAAAAAAAAAATTATTACTTTGACGGATCTGCAATTTACGTGTTTGCTGCTTTGATGTCGTGAATGCATAACTGTGATCTATATTGTGTCAGGATTATATTCTGAATTTAGGTATTTCCTGTCTCGTCTTTTATTGGCCTTTTGTAACTAGATTGCATTGCCGAGCTGTGTACTATTTTCATTATGTGTGTATGGTAAACGTGGACTTCAATTCTGGAATCTTCCTTTCTCTGTTGGGTAGAATTTAGATTTATATTAATTTTTTAATGAAGTATAATAATCCTTACAAAGGTGCAGAGTTGTGATTATGAATTTATCATAGTGTTGCATTTGCTTTCTTGAGTTTGTATTGTAGAGTACTTGGAAACGGCAGGCATTCAAAATTGGCATTTACCTCAGACACTGGTTTTTTGTGGTGTTCTTTTTAAGTTGGTGCAATTGGGAAAATCTTAGTTTGCACCTTACTTGTTGTGCCCCAATCCCAGATGACTTGCTAAGGCATGAAATTTGAGGTTTCTTTGCGTTGTAGGAGACCAATTGTTTCGATCTGCCATGTGAAATTTTCAATTGGGCTTGATTTACTATGCTGATTTTGCTAAAAGCAGAGCAGAATTGGTTTATTTTGAACTGTTCTAAAGGCCTTCTTGGGGTAAGCTATTGATTGCTTCTATGTGTGGTTTTGTGCTATTGCTCGACATAATACTATCTGTTGTTTGATAGACCTTAGAGAAGACATTTGAAGGCATTCTGTATTGGTTTGTGATTGAACTGATTTATTCCTTGTCAAATTTTTTAATGGCCAATATTGCGAACTATGTTACATACTCAGCATTCTTTTCTAATGCATTCCGTGTTGATTTTATGGAAGAAGTTAGAATTTCAGAGTCTCTGCTTACTGTTTTATATAAGCACTTGTTGCAAAGTTTGTAAATTCGCAAGATATTGTAAAATTAATGGAAGCATCTGAGTTGTGCATAGTGAACTGAGCTTGTAGGGTGTTTGGAGTTGCTAAGTATGCCGTGTTTCCCGACCCATTAGGCAATTCTAAGACCTTGTTTGTGTTGCATAACGTGTCTTTGTGTAGGAGCAACAGCTTCATGTGTTCTTGCTTGATTGATCATGTGGCTCAAATAGTGGATAAGATGCACTTTTTGCCGACCAAGGTATGATCTTGCATTTGTAATCTGAAATATTTGATGAGGGTCGGCAGATTTATTATGTGATTAAAAGATTTCTGTTGTTTAATAGAGATATGGTTCGTTAGTGTTTTTGTGTGGTTCAACAGAATTTCAATATTATTTGTTATTCGATATATAAGCATTGATTTAGCTGAAGCTATTCACCGAATTGAAAATGGATCTTATGGCCTCATCCTATTTTACTGATGTGTAGTGTAGGTTTGGGTGAACACTGCTAGGCTATGGTGTTAATGGATAAGTGAAATCCTTATTTGAATTCTTACAAAGTTTTGATAGTTTGTCATTTACTACTTAGGAAGGGTAAGGTACAAAAAGCACAACACATTATTTCAATTAACATATTTATGTTTTAGCTGAAATGATTGTTAATCTATAGGTATAGGTATAGGTATAGGTATAGCTATGGTCCTTCATGAATTTCATGTTGAGACTTATCTGTTTTATTCCTACTATGCTAATATAAAATTTTAAAGTATGTTTTATTCGTTATGTCTCGTCCCACATTATCGAATTATAATTACTAGATAATTAATAATATATTAGTAAAAATAATTAATTATTTTATAATATAAATAACTGATTAGTTTAATTCAAATTTAAAAAATTTTAAATTATAAATTAAATGAAATCAATGTGAGTAATTATTTTTAGAAAAAAAAAATGACATGAGATGTGAGATGGACATAACGTGGATATGGTAAATGAGATTTTTTAACTTTAATTTTGGACTTTTTAATAGTAAAGTTCTCTTTTATTCTTTCAAATTATAATTAATATCATTTTACTTGACACGATTTTCAATAAAATTATGATATTTTTTCACAAAAAATTATATCAAAAATATTATTTAAATAATAATTCAAATTAAAATTCTATTTCAAATCAATTTTAAATCACGAATTAAACAAATCTTTCTATTTTTTTTAAAGATTAATTTGTGTTAATAATAAAGAGATATATGTTTTTATTTATATTATATTATATGAAATTTTATTCGTTATAAAATATAAATTTTAAAATATTTTATTCTTTTTCAATTTTATAAATATATTACCTCATAAATTAAATATTAATTAAATAAATCTTCTTCAAATCAAATTTAAACTTATATACTAAACTTCTCTTTAATTTTCTAAAAATCCTATACTTTTTTTCTCTCGAGTCATTTTCAACCCATTCTTCTATCTCTCTAAAATTTTCCTCCATATTTTACTTTCACTCCAATTCATTTTATTTTTTCCTCTAAACAGAATATTTCATATATATGTTTTTATTTTTAAACAATTACATAATATTTATTCAACTTTGATCTATTTATATATTAATCCCGAAATATCTTTTAATAAATTCAAATTATTTTATTGAGATAATTTTTAAAATAGTATAATAACAATAATAAATTATATTATTTAATTATTTTTATATTAAAAAATAATGATTAAAAAATTAAGGGAAAATCATATATATATATTTAAAAAATAATAACAAACTATAAATAATAATAATAATAATAATTATAGTCAAAATTCAAAATTAAAAAATTACACGAAATAATAATAAATAATTAAATTAAAAATACGAAATATATAAAAGTTCCCACTTGAAGGACCAAATCACAAATCCTCCATTATTTAAAGAGTATTGTAGATTGCTCTAAAATTGGACATAAAAAAATTGAGTGAGTTTGAAACTTTTTTGGTCCAATAATTTAAAGTCCTTCCCATTGGTGCTTCTTTGTTTGATAGGTTTTTTATTCATTTCCAACACATTCTCATTAATTCATTTGTCTTTGTCTTTGTCTTTGTCTTGTCCAATCATAATTAATTAATAGCAATATATATTTAGAATGAAGCATATAAAGGGGCAAAGGCATATATATATATATATATATATTTATTTATTTGCAGACTAAAATGGAACTACTTAATACACACAGAGACAAACCACAAAATCCTACTTGTGGGATATAATATAAATACGTACTCCAAAAAATTGAATCATAATAAGAATAAATCTGATCAGTAAATTGTGACATGGAAGTCATTTGAAATTGGCTCCAATAGTCAGTCAGTCAGCCAGAACATAATACTAATAAATAAATAGATAATAAATTAAGATGAGAGAATAATGAGAGAGCAGAAACTTATAAAAGAGTAGGTTAATAATATTCAGTCATCACTGTAAAACACATTTCAGAATGATCCAATAAAAATATTTTTATTGACTTTTGATCTAATTTTTGTCTTAATTATTGGATTTTTTCAGGGCATTTCAAATATTTGAATTTTCAAGCTATGTTTGAATTAACTAACGGTCACTATTACTAACACAAACACATGACAAAATTTCACTAACATCTTTACATATTTATATTGATGTATATAATGTAACAATATATATATGTATGGAATAATTTAATTTTTATGAAGAGATATGTCTGTTGGTTACTAATTCTTCTAACATTTAAAATAAATAGTAGGGGTGGTTCTAGTTCAACTCATTCAATGGAAATAATAATAATAATAAATAGGGTCAGAGCTCGGAATTAATTAGGACTATTTTTTGTTTTTAGAAAAAAAATATTAAATGTAAATTAGAAACATATAAATTGATGACTTTGGAAAACAAAAATTTAAAAGACAAGCAGAGCTTAAACGGCACGCACGCACAGGAAATTGAATATTTTATTTTAGTATATAAATTATTATTATTATTATTATTATTTAATGTACTTAGTAGTAATAAAAAAGGAATTGTACTGGAAACAGAACCTGCCATTTCTTGATTAATTCCTGGTGGCTTTGCTATGTCAACTCCACAAATAAATGGCAATATATTAATAAACAATTAGGACCGCATTGATTATTATTATTATTTATTTATTTTTAAATATTACATTAATTTTATTATTATTATTTTGATACGTATAGTTTTATTATTTAGTTTAATTGTAATATGAATTATTTATAGCCTTGTGACCGTGTGAATTATTCGTTAATATGTCGTTTGTGTTATCTTTCAATATTACACCATTCGATGGAAAAATTGATTTTTCGATTTGGCAACAAAAAATGAAAGGACTTTTAGTAACTCAAAAAGTTTCCAAAGCAATTGATGGTGATTATAATGCGTTATTGACGGAAGAGAGAAAGGCTGAAATAGATGAATGTGCTTATTCTTTAATTATCTTAAACTTGTCTGATTCTGTGATTAGAAAGGCAGGAAAACTTGATTCTACGAAAGAATTATGGGAAAGATTAGAAGAGCTTTACATGGAAAAATCTTTGCCAAACAAACTGTTTTTACTTGAAAAGTTTTTCCGTTTTAAACTTGATTTGAATCGAAACATTGATGAAAATTCAGATGTTTTTACAAAGTTAGTTCAAAATATAAAACAAACATGCGATAAAAATATTGGTGAATATACCCCTATTGTTCTTTTGAATGCAATTCCTGACTCTTATTCTGATGTTAAGTCTGCTATCAAATATGGTAGAGATAGTATAAATCTTGAAACTGTCATGAATGGATTAAAAAGCAAAGAACTTGACTTGCATGCACATAAAAGTCATAAACATGCTAGTGATAAAGTGATGTTTGCTAGGGGTAGGTCACAAGTTAGAAAAAATACAGAAAACCAAAAGAATAGGGGAAAGAGCAATGAAAGATCTAGGTCTAAGTCTAGGCCTAAGAACAGAAAATGTTACAACTGTGGGGAATCCAACCATTATGCTAAGCAATGTCCACACCCTAAGAACTTTAGAAACCAACAAAATGAGCATGTAATATGACTATAGGAAATGAATATGTAGGAGATGTTTTCATGGTTAAAGGAAGTTGTGCTGCTGTTAATACTATATGTGCTAACGAGTGGTTGCTTGATTCTGCGTGTACCTTTCACATGTCTCCTTTGAAAAACTTGTTTTCAAACTATAGGTCTATTTCGCATGCTAGTGTTTCAATGGCAAATGAAAAACTTTGTAAAGTTGTTGGTATAGGTGATGTTTGTCTAAAGTTTGACTCTGGCTATGTGTTAACCTTAAGGGATGTTAGGTATATTCCTGATTTGTGCAATAACTTGATTTCATGTGCTGCACTAGATGAAAGTGGATTAATAGGAAAATGGGGAAATGACGTTATGAAAGTCTTAAAAGGTTCATTTGTTGCATTTAAGGCTGTTAGAAAAAATAATTTGTACGTTGCTTATGCTGAATCAAATTGCATGCCAAATGTGAATTCTGTTGTTAATGATAAAACTGAATTGTGGCATAGACGATTAGGTCACCTTAGTGATAAAGGTCTTGAAATATTAAAGAAAAATGGTTTTCTTGAAAATGATAAGATTACTACTGTGCCTTTTTGTGACTTGTGCGTTTATGGTAAGCAACATAGGGTAAAATTTGATTTGTCCTATGCTCATAAAGTGCCTAAATGTAATGATGTGCTTGAATATTTGCATGCTGATGTGTGGGGTCCTGCTCCTGTTCCTACTCAAGGTGGGAGTCGTTATTTTCTGTCAGTAATTGATGAATTTTCACGAAAAGTTTGGATTTTTCTATTAGAACAAAAATAAGATGTTTTTGAAATTTTTCAAGCATGGAAAAAGTTAATAGAAAATTAAACAGGTAAGCGCATTAAATTTTTGAGAACAGATAATGGTCTTGAGTTTTGCAACAATTTGCTTGATTCATTATGTGCTAAATCAGGTATAACTAGACATAAGACAGTTCCCTATACACCCCAGCAAAATGGGGTGGCGGAACGAATGAATCGAACTCTTATTGAAAGGGTGATGAGCATGCTAAACTCCTCGGGCATTCCAAAGAGTTTTTGGGGGGAAGCTGTTACTACGGCTGCATATTTGATTAATAGGTTTCCCTCTGTGCCACTTGAGGGTAAGTGTCCTGAATCTGTATGGTCGGGTAAGAAACTTGATTTTTCCAATTTGAAAGTATTTGGGTGTACAACATATGCTTTATATAAAGGTGATAAACTTGAACCTAGAGCTGTGCGTTTTCTTAGGTTATCCTTTAGGAGTAAAAGGATATATGCTATGGTTAAAAGATGAACCAGGTTTCAAAGTGCTAATTAGTAGAGATGTCACCTTTAATGAAAATGAGATGCCCTGTCTGAATGTGCCAAATACTGAAATAGATTTGACTTCAAATGAGGTAGAGCCAAATAAGGTAGAGCCAAATAAATTGGAAATTTCTGAAAAGTTGCATGACGAATCTGATTCTCATGATAAGTTGCTTGAAAATGACCTACCAAATGCTGAAAATTCTGAATCAGAATATGAGAACATAGAAAACTACCAACTTACGAGAGATAGGACTAAGAGAACCACTAAGCAACCGTCTAGATTTGATGAATACGACTTGACTTCTTATGCTTTTAGTGTGTTCGAGACATTAGATGGAAATGAACCTAAGTCTTATGAAGAAGCTTTTAAATCTAAACACGCTGAAGAATGGTTAAATGCAATGCATGATGAAATGAATTTCCTGCATGATAACAATACGTGGATTTTTGTTCCTAGGCCAACTAATTGTTCTATTGTTGACTGCAAATGGATTTTCAAAGTCAAAAATGAAAATGATAATGTTAGATTTAAAGCTAGGTTGGTAGCAAAAGGATTCACTCAAAAAGAAGGGATTGATTACACTGAAATTTTCTCACATGTGGTTAAATATACTACTGTTAGGATAATGCTTGCCTTAGTTGCTCACTTTAATTGGGAACTAAAACAAATGGATGTTAAAACTGCTTTCCTACATGGTGATCTAAGTGAGAAAATTTACATGAAACAACCTGATGGCTTTGTAGATAAAGGTAAGCCTGATCATGTGTCTACTTAAGAAATATTTGTATGGTTTGAAACAATCACCTAGACAGTGGAACATTAAATTCGATGAGTGCATGGGATCTTTAAAATTCACAAGAAGTAATTTTGACCATTGCTTGTATTTTATGAGATCAAATGATGTTCCTGTTTTCTTACTTATTTATGTGGATGACATGTTATTGATTAGTCCTTGTGTGAATACTATCAAGCATGTTAATGACTGTTTGAGTAATAAGTTTGACATGAAATATTTGGGTGATGCAAAGAATATTCTTGCTATGAACATTATTAGAGATAGGGCTGCTTCTACACTTTTGTTAAATCAATCCGCATATATTGAAAAAGTCTTGAAACGATTCTGTATGTCCAATGCAAAGTCAACTAATGTGCCTCTAGCTTCTCATTTTGTGCTAAGCAAAGATCAATGTCCTAAGTCTGAATCTGATATGAATTACATGAAAGATGTGCCATATTCGAATGCTATAGGCTCTGTGATGTACTTGATGATTTGCACTAGACCTGATATTGCATATTCTGTGAGTTGTTTGAGTTGTTTCATGTCTAATCCTGGAACTGAATATTGGAATGCAGTCAAATGGTTATTTAGATATTTGTGTGGTTCTAGTAACCTAGGGCTAAAATTTGGAAAATGTGTTGAAGGAGTAAAATTGAAAGGTTATGTGGACTCCAATTATGCGAATGATAGAGACAATAGAAAATCTACAACATCCTATGTGTTTACTTTGTGTGGCTCATGCATAAGTTGGAAATCACAACTCCAACATATTGTTGCTCTATCTACTACTGAATCAGAATATGTTGCGATAACTGATGCTCTAAAGGAAGCGATGTGGCTAAAAGGTTTGCTTTCTGAAATTGAAATATTGCGTGATAATGTGACAGTCTATTCTGATAGTCAGTATGGAATCCAATTATGCAAGAATCCTGTTTTTCATGATAGAACCAAACACATAGATGTTAGGTTTCATTTTATACGGGACATAGTTGCAAAAGGGTCAGTCAAACTTGAAAAAATACCTTCTCAATTTAACCCTACTGGTATGGGAACCAAATGTCTGCCTGTTTCCAAGCTTCAGTCATGTTTAAATATGTTAAATTTTGATACATTGGATTAGAACCGTGTCTGCTCTTCATTGATAGCATGTATTATTTCTCTGTGATTAATATATACTCTACAGAATTGACTCCGTGTTAAGATTGCAGGAATAATGGCGATGATGATAACATGTTCCCACTCTCGATTGCCCTCCAATGTAACCACGAGGGTCGACTAGAAACAAGGTAGAGATTGTTGGTGTGTTTCTGCGTCAACCCACAACCGATCCAGAACCGACCCGACCCGACCCCGTCCGACCCGATCCAGAACCGACCCGGTTTGTTTTTTATCTCCTTAAATCAAACCGATCTCTCCCCATTCTGTTCGATCGTTTGAATCGGTCTCTCATCCGTTCCGTCGTTCACGGTGCTATCCCTATTTCTTCGAGATTGATTGAGTCCGCCATGGGTGTTGATAAGGTAAGGTTGTTTCCTACTCTTTTGGGTTCTATCCATCCGCTTCCCCCCTATATATATGGGTTTGTGATTTTGGGAGATAGGAGTGACGAGTTCGCTATCAAACCTACTGCCTTAGCCTATCGACTTCTCTCGTTATTTTTCGTCCTGATACTGAGTGTGCGAGGAATAGGGTTCTTAGGTTACTTCGTGTTAGGAACCACCGCAATCGACACCTTTGTGGGTTACCTCGTAGGACGACTTGGAGTTGGCGAAGTAGTGGCTGTGATCTGAGCATACACTACCGATTGTTCTATCCCTCTTTTCAATTCTTAATATATATTTCTGTTTTATATTCTTAATCATCGTTGTTATCCGCACTAATTATTTGGTTGAGAATCTGTGCAAATCACCTAACGTTCAGAAAAATCGAGAATCTCATCAGTATGTTTTTTGAAATTTATTTTAAACAATTTAACTATATAATTATTTCCATTTTTTTAAAAATAAATAAATTCAAATTATCATTCAAATTAAAATTAAAAATTCCAAAACCAAACTAAAAAAACACACCTAAAGTTCACAGTCTCACGTGATCAACTTGTAATAAGCGCCATGTCTGTGGCATAAAATCATTTATACAAATTATCACTTAAAAAGGAAATAAATAAATAAATTCGAGAAAGCCGTGTGACCGTGTCCAATTTGGTCATTTCACAAGCCACCCTTCCAATATATAAACTCTACTCCAAAACGGGCAACTACTAATTATCATTACTACATTACCACAGGAGGATGTCGCCGGCGGTCCGACCACCTAAATGCCACCCACCTCCGCCGCCACCGCCGCTGCCGCCGCCCAGCCCGAAAATCCTCAACTTCCCCCTCAGCCGCAGAACCCGCCGCGCCAAAATCACCGCCGCCCGAACGCAGCAGAAGTGCCGCCTCTCTGAAAAACTCCATAACCTGTTTGATCAAGAACATCACAATAAACACCCCACCGCCGAATACGACGGCGACGGCAGCGGCGCCGCCGGATTGGAGGAGGAGGAGGAGGAGCAGTGGAGGTTCCAGGCGGAGATGCTGAGGGCAGAATGCAATCTGCTGAGAATGGAAAAGCAATTAGCTTTCAACAAAATTGAAAACAACAGAGCTGAGATCGAAGCCATTTTAAGATCATCTCTTCAATCACTAATCTCTGTCAGTGTTTTTTTTCTTGAAATTATTTATTACATTTTGATGTCGTGTTTTTGGTTTGAACAGTAAATTTTCTACGATATTATTTCCAACAGTGAAAAAATTTGAAACAAAACTCCATGCGTCTTTATTATCACGAGATATTCTGTATATTCAATTTTAAATTTAATAATTTTATATTAAATTTTGATATTAGATTATTTAGATTTAAATTTATGAATTATCTTATATTATTTACATACATATCCTTTATTTTAATAACCAATATAATACAATTTTTTAGTTTTCACAAAATATTTTCACATTGTATCAATCACCATGGAATGCTTTCGGACATTTTTTTCAGGGAAGGAAGAAGATATGCCGAGGAGCGAATGCCGGCGCGGTGCTGGAGGAAGAGATCGACGGTCTAGCCAGAAAGTTAGAGGAACTGAATTCCGGCGGTGGTTCGACTAGCCGGAGCCACCAGCTCCCAAACTGCAGTAATTTCGACACAAAGGCTAACCTTCTTCGTCGACACTTGGACGAGCAACGACGAATGTTCGAGGCCGAGAATGAGTCCGAGGATGTAAGAACTGAGCAAGTGTTGATCCTTATGCATTTTGACTTTTGGAAATGTTAATGAAACAGTATTGATATGCTCTGCAGTGGATCGGAAATCCGTCAAATTCGACTTTGAAGCGAACGATCGACGAGGCCCCGGAGATCAAGTGCACGGGTCGATGCAAGAGCCTCGTTCGCCGGCTGGTCGAGCAGGTGAGAGCCGAGACCGAGCAGTGGTCGCAAATGCAGGAAATGCTGAGGCAGGTGCGCGACGAGATGGTGCAGCTGCAGGCGTCTCGGGATTTCTGGGAAAATCGAGCTCGATCGCTTAGGCACACGGCAAGATCAATCGCGTCGTCTCGTCTCGAATTTTTTCTTAGAGTCGACGAGTTATCGTAAAAGCTTCCTAATGTTTGTCGCGATTTCCTCCGCAGTTGGACGAATCGGAGAAGAAGATGCTCGCCTACGAGGCCAAGGTTAGCGAGTTGCAGCGCGAGCTATTCGCCATCAAATGGGAGATACGGGAGTCGACCGCAGATCCAAACCCGGTCCCTCTAGCGAAGCAGCTCGAAAACGAAAAACATGAGTCGAGTCATCGAATGAAGAAGAAAAGTGACGAGAACTACAATAAGTTCGGGGATGCCGTCGAAGAACACAAAGAAAGAACACTCGATAAAGATCGAGCTCCCATCTCTTTAGGCAAACATCTAGCGAAGGAGAAGAAAATGTTCCTTCATCGACTGAAGGAAAATCGTAGCGCAAAAGCTAAACAATGCTCAAGCCGGGTTATTGGAGAAGTTTCGCCATTGCGGGACATTGGGAATTCGTCGTCATGCTTGGCGAGACACAGTAGTCGAGCAGCTGCCGGAGTTCTTTCGAGTCCTCCTGAGACATTCAGAACAAGAGAAAGCTTTAGGAAGTGATTAAAAACGGTATCTTTAGTAAAAAAATCGTAAAATCGCGCTATCTGTTCGACATTGTTCCTTTCTTTCTTTACAATCCCAGTTTTGTCGAAACTAGGAATAATGAGATTGTTTTCGAATTGCTTCGAATATCAGACAAACTTGTAAGGATCTAAAAATTACCGGAGGATCAAAATGCAGATGGATATTTGAGAAAGCCTTTCTCTTTAAAGTCGTCGATAGTGTCCTTAAGGCTCTGTTCAAGAGGGGTGAATACGACGCCGAGGCTCTTTGCCTTTTCTTTCGAAACCTGGTACGTAGGCGTGAATGGCTTATCGTCTGCGCACCTGTATAGAAATTAAAAGCCGTTACATATTAAAGAAGCGAAATCAAGCATTCTTGCGACAAGTTTAGCTAAATTTTCGTCACCTTTCGGGAAGTTTAGCATTGGGGTAGAGTTGAAGCAGAATATCGACGAGTTTAGAGTAGTGTAAAACAGTTCCCACCGTGCAATATCTTCCATTTGCCGAAGGATTCTCAAATGCTAGAATGTGAGCGTTTGCGACGTCTCTTACATCGACCCACCCGGAAGTCATATTCGGATATGTTTCAGCGCCTGCAATTAGTACAAATTAAGGTAGAAAGAAATTCATACACAATTGCAGATGATTGTATGTATGGGTATGAAGTAGATGACCCTAAACCCAATAAAGTCAACATGGTGCTAATTTGATCGGGTCAGTATATCACATAAAGATAATCAACATGTATTATATATATTATCATAACATGATCGGCATATGATATCTTAACGCAAAAATATATGTTGTATGCCTTTACGTGATATGTTAACCATGCTGATGCATATATACCGTTTATCAGCTTTAAGATTGCATCACTGCTCGTGTTAAGAGTTGGCTGCAACAGTGGGCCGATTACCATGGACGGATTTATCGCAACCATGTCGATGCCTTTTTCTTTTACAAATTTCCAGGCAGCATTCTCAGCCAGTGTCTTTGAGAGCATGTACCATTGCTGGAACATAAAATGGAAAAGGAATGGAATAAGGCCCCCCAAAAAACAAGGAACATAAATCAAAGCATCTGCAGCCAGGCAAATTTAGACTATGTTTATTTAGAGATTGGCTTTAGTTTCCGAAATTTTATATAAAAACATATTATCCTCTCAAACAAAGGATCTTAACAATACCACCATTCAAACCATGAAAAATATTATTTACAGTTCAATATCTTTTATTTATATCTCACTAATCAATAAAAAAATATATTTATATACATTCAAAACTTTATACTCTCTTTCAAAATAATTATGCCGGGTTTCTTATTGTCATTTTTAACCAATAATAATTAATTTACTATTACTTTTTCTATTTATCATATCATTTTTTGTCAATTCTTTAATAAATTTTATATAATATTTCATTTTTACATTAAAATATTATTATTTCTTAAGTCGTTTATAAAATTAATTTATATCAGTCATAAAATACATATATTTTATTTATTTATATTATATCAAATTTTATTCTTTAAAAAAAATAAATTTTATTACTTAAAAAACATATAGTATTAATTTTTTTTAATATATATATTACATCAATTAACATAAACATCCAACTGAACTTCCAACTTACATTATACTTCTTCAAAGTTAAAATTGTAATCTTTTTAACATACAATTCTTACGATTTTCTACAAAAATATTTTATTTCCTCCAACAAAAAATAGTCATCTATACTACAATTCAAACCAAAACCAAATTTCAAGTAAACAAATCCCTACCCATCATCAATTTTGCCATAATATATTAGGATGAATGCTCTTTGTACTGTTTTTTAGGCTTGAAAAATGAAATGTTATGTTTTGGTTTGAAAATACATAAACAGTTCTTTTGCTCCAGGAAAAGGGGATTTCTATGTTATACATCCATTCAAACAAATGCTTTTCAAACACAGTATAAGTTATTTTCCAGGGAATAAAGGTAGAACTAAAATTACACAAAAACAGATATACAACATAACATGTGAAACATGATAAATCCTTAGATTTGGCTGCGAGTTTACTTAAAACATACTCAAATTGTGGATTTTAATGTTATTAAATAAAGAAAAAGTAACAGAACAGAACAGTGGAGAACACTGACCTGAGCTTGTTCGCAAAACTCCGGAGTCGACCACCAAGACTCATCAACTACGACCTCAGGTGTTCGAGGTTTACCATTGGCAAAAACCGCAGCTATAGATGATGTCAAAACAACCCTCTTAACAGAGGGCGTTTTAGCACATGATCCAAGAACATTCAGTGTCCCCTTTAATGCAGGATCGATGAAATCCGCCTGAGGGAGGGAAGCCAAAGCTAATTAATTAGCAAATGGAGTCAGAAAATAATAATGCTTACAAGAAATGAAAAAAAAAGATCTCATATTCAATTAAGCTGATGATGAAATCCTAATACATATTTTGATTTTTTTTTTTTATTGTTTTTTCACATTTAAATTTCTTTTCAATCAAGAAAAGGAAAGCTCCCATCTACTAGCAGTTCATGTGAATGTATATTTTCAGTCCAATGTAGTGACCAATCAAGATGAAGGGTGTGATCAAACTATGGTAAATCATCAAATCAAATACTTATTGTTTATTTTCAATATTAAATCAAAATTAATTTTTCATTCAAAATATTATATCAAAACAAATATCTTATTACCGTTACCAACTCCCAGCACCACATCCAAACACACAGGCATCTGAATGTAGTAGAAACAGCTAGATCTAGATCATTCTGGAACAAACTCCACCCAGCTAACTAATCGAAAACTCAGTTGCTAATTAGCTAATTTATGGTTAGTAATCACTACAAGACTCAGATATTTCATCTTTACCATTATAATCATCAAAATTGTTATATTTAGGCAGGCATTTGCTGTTTTAGCTTCCGCTTGCATTTGACCAATGCATAAAATATCAAATTCGAGACTAAAAGGATCTTTAGTTAAAACAAAAAGAAACAAAAAAGGAGGGATGAAAGACATCAACGGCAGCGTAAAACCTGCGGATCTGTGGTACTTCCCATGAAAAATGGAGAAGCAGTATGAAAAACACCGTCACAGCCATCAACAAGAGCATCAAATGATCCTTCTTCGAGCAGATTCGCTTTGAACAACTGAAGCCTCTCCTTGGCTCCGTCGAGCGCAAGCAAGTGCTCTGTCTTCTTCGGATCCTCTGCAGATTATATATTTCACAAATTAACAGACGCCAAAGTCAAAACACCAAAAATTAAAACAAACCGACGAAGTCAACAATGAAATGAAACCAAATTAAGTAAAGCAATGATGATTAACGAAAAGCAGAATTGGGAGGGGAGACGATCGATTGGTACTGAACTGGTGTCGCGAACAGATGCTTTGACAGTGTAGCCGCGGTGGAGCAGGAATCTTACAATCCAAGAAGCAATATAGCCGGATGCTCCGGTAACGCACACCGTCTTCTTCATTTCCAAGTTGAAGGTCTGGTAAAGTGCTGTGCTGTTGCTCCTTCCTCCACAACCACAAGCAACTACCTGCCTCTCCCTCCACTATTAATTACTAATTCCCATTCCCAATCTGGTAAGATAAGACGTTAATCAGCCAGGTTTGGCAAATGGTATCAATCAACTGTAAGATAATTGTAATTATAAAAGATAATAATAAGCAGCTGGAATAGCTCAGTTGGTTAGAGCGTGTGGCTGTTAACCACAAGGTCGGAGGTTCAAGCCCTCCTTCTAGCGAGGTTTTATAGCTATTCTTTTAATTTTTATTTTTTTTCTTTTTATAAGAATTAAAATAAAAAAGTAATTTAGTTCAAATCAAACTTATTTTAACTCCATATTTATTGCATATTTATTATTAATATATTTATTTCATATTTATAGTAGTACACTAGGTGTGTTTGTTTGGGGGTTTGAATTTTGAGTTGGGATTTGAATAGTAAAAATTTTGAATTTGAATAGTTGTATGATGTGATATAAATAGGTGATGATGTGATGTTTTGAATGTAAAATTGATTTTTAGTATAATATAAAAAATAAAAAATAGATGTTTGATTTGATGTTTTTGGGGGGAAAATTTTGGATGAATAGTGGAATTTAATCCAAATCCATCAAACGAACACACCCTTAAATTATTTATGCATTTATGGTTATTTATAATGCATATAATAAATTGACTAATTAATAACCACTAACCAAACATAGTAAATAATGTTGTACACAAATGCAGTACGTAGCACTTCGTTGGCATACACTTATCGTAGGTGTGGATGTTTGTGATTGGTTGGAGAAACTTATATATATGTACACCACGATGTATTGAAAGAAATCAATTCTCCACACTTAGTTTTCCTCCTGCTCTTTCTCTCTGCACTGTATTAATTAGATTAGAACATATCATATTTAATATATATGCAAAGATAAATATAATAATATATACTTACAATATACATACATATACATATATTATATATATAATTACCAACTTATATATTACACTTATTATATAACACGTTATCAGCACGATGACTCTTGCCTATTTTATTTTTGGTTAAATGGATGCCAATCAAAATGATGCAAATATGTGTTTCATTGACAGTGCAACGACACATACTATATTGAAACACGAAAAATATTTCTCCATTTGAAAATGGAAAGAATGAATGTCAATACAATAAGTGGAAGTGTGAAATTAATTGAAGGCTCTGGAGAAGCCATTATATTTCTCCCCGCGGGGACGAAAATTGTGATACAATATGCACTGTTGGCCACTAAAGCTCGAAGAAATCTACTGAGCTTTCATGACATTCGGAAAAATGGTTATCACATTGAAACTATGAGTGATACCGATGGTGAATTTTTATTGATCACCAATATCATTGATAAAAGGAAATGCATCATTGAGAGATTACCCTCACTCTCTACTGGCTTATATTATGCCAGATTAGGTGTTGTTGAAACACACCTCACGGTAGATCAAAAGATTACCGATTTTCAAATATGGCATGATCGCCTTGGGCATCCTGACAGTATAATGATGAGGCGAATAATTGAGAATTCGCATGGCCATTCATTAAAAGATCAAAAAGTTTTAAACTCAAATGAGTTAACATGTGTTGCCTGCACTCAGGGAAAATTGATAACCAGGCCATCGCCAGCTAAAGTAGGTATTGAATCACCTACATTTTTGGAAAGAATACACGGGGATATATGTGGACCAATAGACCCACCGTGTGGGCCATTTAAATATTTTATGGTGCTTATTGATGCATCTACCAGATGGTCACATGTCTGTTTATTATCTACTCACAATATGGCATTCGCGAGATTGCTTGCCCAAATTATTAAATTACGGGCACAATTCCCCGATAATCCAATTAAGACTATACGTCTGGATAATACTGGTGAATATACATCGAATGCATTTGATGATTATTGCATGTCGATTGGAATTAATGTAGAGCACTCAGTTGCTCATGTTCATACACAAAATGGCCTGGCAGAATCACTTATTAAAAGATTGCAATTGATTTCTAGACCATTACTGATGAGGTCTATGTTGCCCGTTTCAGCTTGGGGCATGCAATCTTACATGCAGGAACACTTATAAGAATGAGACCGACAAGATATCATAGCTATTCCCCAATGCAATTAGTATTTGGTCACGAACCAAATATATCTCATCTACGTATTTTTGGGTGTGCTGTTTATGTTCCTATTCCACCCCCCAAACATACAAAAATGGGTCCTCAACGTAGATTGGACATTTATGTCAGATATGAATCGCCGTCAATTATAAAATATCTTGAACCTATGACGGGTGATTTATTCACTGCAAAATTTGCAGATTGTCATTTTGACGAATCATATTTTCCGACATTAGGGGGAGACAGAAATGAACCAAAAAAGGATATTAATTGGAAAATTCCATTGAATTTTTGTGACCCTCGTACAAAGCAGTGTGAACTAGAAGTTCAACACATTATACATTTGCAAAATATTGCAAATCAGTTACCGGATGCATTCAATGACTCGAGCAAAGTCACTCGATCATATATCCAAGCTGCTAATGCTCCGGCTAAAATAATTGTCCCTGATGGACAAACTGCAAATGCTAATGAAACAGCGACACGCTTAAAGCGTGGTAGACCACTCGGTTCCAAAGATAAACACCCTCGAAAGAAAAGAGGAATTAATGATGATAATCATGAAAATATCAGGAATGATATTGATAAACCTCAATCTAACGAGGAAGTCAACCCTGAAATAATTGCTCCCGAAGAGCACGACCTTGAAGAACATGAAGAGATAATTGAAAATTCAATTAACTATATTACTTCAAGAAAATGTTGAAACCGTAAAGAGGCAATTATTGATAATGCCTTCGCATACAATTTAGCACTTGATATAATGGAAGAAAACGAGGATCCAGAGCCAAAATCGGTTCATGAATGTCGGCAAAGAAATGACTGGCCAAAATGGGAATATGCGATTCAATCAGAGCTTGATTCATTAAACAAAAGGGAGGTCTTCGGTGAACAATGGTATAAAACCAGTTGGATACAAATGAGTGTTTGTACGAAAAAGAAATGAGTATAATGAAATTGTGAGATATAAAGCCCGTCTTGTAGCTCAGGGATTCTCACAAAGACCTGGAGTAGATTTTGATGAAACATACTCTCCGGTTGTCGATGGAATAACATTTAGATACCTTGTGAGCCTAACAGTGCAAGAAAAGCTCGACATGCATCTTTTAGACGTAGTTACTGCATATGTTTATGGCTCATTGGATACTGGTATTTATATGAAAGTCCCTGAGGGATTCAATATGCCTGAAGCATACAAATTAAACCCAAGAGAATCATATTCCATCAAATTGAAAAGGTCATTGTATGGACTTAAACAATCAGGGCGAATGTGGTATAACCGTCTGAGCGAATGTTTATTAAAAGAAGGTTATACTAATGATCCAATATGCCCATGCGTCTTTATAAAGAAAAATGGATCAAATTTTGTCATTATTGCTATATACGTTGATGATCTCAATTTAATTGGAACTCCAGAAGAGATCCAAATTGCAGTTGAATATCTAAAGAAAGAATTTGAGATCAAAGATTTTGAAAAGACAAAATATTGTCTGGGATTACAGGTGGATCATGTGAACAATGGGATATTTATCCATCAATCCATATATACCCAAAAGGTATTGAAACAATTTTACATGGATAAATCTCATTCTCTGAGTACACCAATGGTGGTCAGATCCCTTGATCCCAGTAAAGATCCATTTAGGCCAAGAGAAGAAAATGAAGAAATACTTGGCCCCGAGGTACCATATCTCAGCGCTATTGGCGCATTAATGTACCTCGCAAATTGTACCAGGCCAGATATATCTTTTCAGTAAATCTACTGGCCAGATTTAGCGCATCCCCCACAAAACGCCATTGGAATGCTATCAAGCATATTTTTCGTTATCTTCAGGGGACTCATGACCTCGGTTTATTTTATTCGAGTGAATCTCGAAATGAATTAATTGGTTATGCTGATGCTGGTTATCTGTCTGATCCACACAAAGCAAAATCTCAAACTAGCTATTTATTTACTTGTGGTGGAACTGCAATCTCTTGGAGATCTGCTAAACATACAATAACAACTACCTCTTCAAACCATGCTGAGGTTTTAGCAATTCATGAAGCCAGTCGTGAATGCGTTTGGTTGAGGTCCATGACTCACCATATTCAGAAAAATTGTGGCTTGATTACCAATGATATATTACCTCCTACAATATTATTTGAAGATAATGCAGTTTGTATAACTCAATTAAAAGGAGGGTATATTAAAGGCGATCGGACAAAGCACATATCTACGAAGTTCTTCTTTACTCACGATCTTCAGAAAAGTGGTGAAATTAATGTGCAACAAATTCGATCATCTGAAAATTTTGCAGATTTATTTACGAAGGCGCTACCGACTGCAACATTCAACAAACTGGTACAAGGAATTGGAATGCGTCGGATGAAAGACATAAAATAAAGTCCAAAACAGGGGGAGCGCATTAATACAAGAATGATGTACTCTTTTTCCTTAACTTTGATTTTTTCCCATAGGGTTTTTTCATTGTAAGGTTTTAACGAGGCACATTCTTTGTATAAAACATCCAAGGGGGAGTGTTGTGCACAAATGCAGTACGTAGCACTTCGTTGGCATACACTTACCGTATGTGTGGATGTTTATGATTGGTTGGAGAAACCTATATATATGTATACCACGATGTATTGAAAGAAATCAATTCTCCACACTTAGTCTTCCTCCTGCTCCTTCTCTCTGCACTGCATTAATTAGATTAGAGCATATCATATTTAATATATATGCAAAGATAAATATAATAATATATACTTACAATATACATACATATACATATATTATATATATATAATTACCAACTTATATATTACACTTATTATATAACAAATAATAATTTATTAAACATAGATGTTTGTTGGAGTAAAAAATGTATAGTGAAAATGACTTTTCTTTAAATAATATTTTTTAAATAACTGGGTAT